AGGAAATAAGAATAGTTTTCGAATGTCTAAAAATTTTAGTCCTTAGAAAATTTATAAAAACCTATATGATGGCTGGAGCATGAGTGCTCTTGCGTATACACACAGCACTTTGAGCTGTACTTAATACAACACGAACGTTTGCTTGTTTGAATTTCGCGCAAAGCTACACGAGGGCTATCTGCGCTAGCCGTCCCTAATTTAGCAGTGTAAGACTAGAGGGAAGGCAGCTAGTCATCCCAACCCACCGCCAACTCTTGGGCTACTCTTTTACCAACGAATAGTGGGATTGACCGTCACATTATAACGCCCCCACGGCTGAAAGGGCGAGCATGTTTGGTGTGACGGGGATTCGAACTCGCGACCCGCAGATTGCGAGTCGAGCGTCCTAACCACCTGGCCATGCCGGGTCTCAACACGAACGTTCTGTTATTAAAATTGAGAACTCAAGTACTGAAAGATATCACATAAAAAAGGCCTTCCTTCTTTTTTAACCAAATTGTCTAACTTACCGTGTAAATTAAGAGAGGTAAAATGACTAAATGCTCCAGTGTACTACTGTACTGCAGAACACAACTTAAATAGATGTCGTGCCTGACGCGAGTTCTGACATAGTAGCCCAGAAGCTCGAGGAATTAGCAATATAGTACAGGATAGTGTTATATGCCTGCTACCTTATTAAGTTTTGAAAAATTTACTTCTTAACTAAGTGTTTTCAGAATGCTTAGTTTAGAAGCACAGATTTGCTCAAGTAACACAAATGTTTCCTATTTGGAGAGCACAGAAGATGTGGATTCGCTGTATGGTAATTAGCCAATTTTACTGCATGGAAGATACTACGTTACGTCAAGAAATAGAAAGCTATCATTCCTGTTGGCGAATCCAATAAAGGTCAGAGGCAGCCACAGTTACATGCAGACCATTACCGTACACTACATAACGGTTATACACTGACCATTACCGTAAACTACATAATGGTTTTACATAGACCATTACCGTACACTACATAACGGTTATACACGGACCATTACCGTACACTACATAATGGTTTTACATAGACCATTACCGTACACTACATAATGGTTATACACGGACCATTACCGTACACTACATAATGGTTATACACAGACCATTACCGTACACTACATAATGGTTATAC